ATGACTAGACAAGATTCACATTTTTGCCCATTCCAAATAAAGGTGACCCAACAGAATGCTTAAATTACAGAAAAAAGATCATTAATATCACATGCAAGTAAAATGTTGTTAAATATCATCCAACAATGATTGCAACAGTACTCTGGCAGAGGTTCAGACTGCATTCAGAAGAGAACCTGGAACAATTAATAATAATTAATAGAAACTAATAATTTCTGATATCTGATAGATGAATCTTGGCTTAAAGCAGAGAATACCAGAAAGATGTTTACTTGTGTTTCATTGACTATACGAAGGCATTGGACTGTGTGGACCATAAAAAACTATGAATATCCTTGAGAAGACTGGGAATGTTTAGATTTCACATGCATATGAGGCAACTGAAAATACTGTGGCTTAAATTAGGCGCACCTTAGTCCTCAAAGTTCAATCTGTGCTCTTCAACACTTTAAATAGGTCTTGTTCAGCAAATTTCCCAATACAATCTGTTGTTTGATTTCTTGACGGTGGCTATATGAGCATTAACTGTGGATCCACGCATTTTAAATTCTTGACAATTTCAAAATATTCCTTATCACCATGTTTTCTATTGGTGCAGATTTTTGTTTTCTTTACCTTGAGTTGCCATCCATGCCGGTATCAACAGCGCTTGGCTTTCATCAGCAAGTGCTTTAAGTCCTCCTGATTTTCGGCAGGTGCGACTAGGCCACCTGTGTGTTGCAGGTAGTTAATAAACTGTCCTGCAATCTTTAGGCATTGCTTTTCTTCATAGAATCCAGCTTCTTGGATTATTTGCTCAGCATACCAATTGAATAATGATAGTAAAATGATACAGTTCTGATACACACCTTTCCTGATTTTAAACCTCACAGAACTCCATTATTATGTTTGAATGATTGCTTCTTGGTCTGCGTACAGTTACCACATGAGCACAGTAAAGTGTCTGGAATTTCCATTCTTTTCAAGGTTATCCATAATTTCTTGTGATCCGCACTATCAAACGTATTTACTTACAAAGTCAATAAAGCACAAGTAAATATCTTTCTCCTGTTCTCTATTTCCATTCCAAATCCGTCTGACTTCCGCAGATATCCCTCATGCCACATCCTCTTCAGAATCCAGCTTGACTTTCTGGAAATTTACTCATTCCTCTGTTTTGAATGATCTTCAAGAATGTTTTACTTGAGTCTAGTATTAATTGATATGGTTTGATCATTTCCACATTCTGTTCGGTCACCTCTCTTTGGAATGGGCACAAACATAGATTTCTTCCAGTTATCTTCCAAGTAGCTGTCTTCTAAATTTCTTGGCACAGGCCAATTGAACTGGTATTCCATCAATTCCTGGAGCCTTGTTTTTGACTAATACCTTAGTGCATATCTGATTTCTTCCTCAAATACCATCAGTTCTTCATCATATACTACCTTTTAAAATGGCTGAACCTTGACCGGTTCTTTGTTGGTATAGTAAGTCTGCATGCTCCTCTTCTGTCATGCTCCCTCTCTGATTCATTTTGTATCCGGTAGAGTGCTGAAAAAGATGAGCCCTCTAAATGGACAAACCCAAATTAAGTAATGTCCTATGAAAAAATAACTGGCCTGCATTATTCAAATGTGTCAAGATCAAGAAAAACAGAGGGGAAAAAGCTAAGGAACTAATTAAGTTTAAATGTGACCAAGAGACATGCCTAATACTCTATTGGACCCTGGACCTTGAGAAAAAGTAACTACAAAATTCATTATTGAGACAATTGAATAAATTTGATAGGGACTGTGGAATAGATACTAGTATTACATCAATATTAAATTTATTGATTTTCATAATTGTATTGTTCTTGTGCTGGTTGCATAGTGGGTTACATGTTAGGCTGCTAGCTGCAGGTGCTTCACTGGAGAAAAACAAGGCTTTCTACTCCTGTACAAATTTACATCATTAGAAATCCCAGGGAGCAGCGATACTCGGCCCTATAAGGTTGAAATCCCTCTTATTACATAGGGTTTTGTTGTTGTTCTTCTTCTTCACTTTGTTCTTAGGGTAAATAAAAAATAAAACCTTCAATTAACTCTAAAAGAAGTCAAGGGAAAAATATAGCATTATACATTATAGGAAAAAAGAATTTAGAAATATATGGTTGTTATTGTTAAGTGCTATCAATTTGGTTCCAACTCAGAGGTACAGAGGATACCGCTGCCTGGCCATTCTTTCAACCGCTGTGTCACTCCATCTCCCCGAGGTTTTCCCTCCTTCTCACGGACCCTCTGCTTTGCCGAACAGGATGTCCTTCTCCAGGGACTGGTCCCTCCTGCAAACATGTCAAAAGTATGTGAGATGAAGCCTTGACATTGTCACTCCTAAGGAACAGTGTGGTTGGGTTTAGTAGAGGTCAAATATTTCTTCTGCAGTATTTGACCACCGCTGGAGGTTCCCCTGAGACAATTTGTCTCATGGACTGCCATGCTGTGCCATCCTCACAATTGTCCAGGTGTTTCAGCCCACTGTTACAACCACTGGGTCAATCCATCTTGCCAAGGGCCTTCCTCTTTTTTCCTGCCCCTCTATTTTACCAAACATGATGTCCTTCTTGGCCTCTCCTGAAAACATGTCCAAAGTATGTGAGATAAAGCTTTGCCATCCTTGTCTCAATGAAACGTCCTGGCTGAACATTTTCCAAGGCAGATCTGTTTGTTCTTTTGCCAGTTTGTGGTATTTACCAGCATCAAACTTCAAACGCATTGCATTTTCTTATGGTCAGTGATAGCCCATTTAACTTACAGAAACTCTGTTTCTTTTCTCTATGGCACAGCCATATCTACCTCGATACATAACTCTAACTCCACTGCCTCGAATGTCCATGCTTCTAGATACCCCAACTTCTCTTTTAAATAAGCCTACAGCAGGCTCGTATAAACAGGTGAGATGGAGGGGCAGCGAAAAGGAGAAGGGCCTTAATGAGATGGCTGGAAACCGTGATGAGAACAAGGGCTCAAACATCACGCGATGGGGAGGATGGCGCAGGACCGGCGGTGTTTCCTCTGCTGAGCAGCGGGTCACGAGGAGCCAGAGCGAACTCATTGGCACCTAACAACGAGAGGCTTCCCGTGTAGTTCTCTGGATGACTGTCACATCCCTTGGCCCAAAATATGAGTTTATGGAATGTATTTTTAATTTATTCACTAGAATATAGTTAACTTTTGAAGACAGGGGTTGCGTTTTATTAATTTCCTTGAGACAATTCTTAGGACAGTGTTTTGTGTTATAATGTGCTGGATGAATGGTTACCGATGAAAGCAATCTGCTTCTTAGGTGGTGGTCTCTAAGTTATGTGTGTTTTAGGTGGTGGTCTCTAACTTATGTGTGTTTTAGGTGGTGGTCTCTAACTTATGTGTGTTTATAGCTCCCACGTCCCTAGAACAAAGACCAGAAGGGTCTACACACCCGAATTAACTTCATGTTGGATTATACATTTTGTACCCTGAGAAGGAAATTTAACAAGTCAAATCAATGGACAATTTTGGGGACTCGTCTATGGGCACTCACATGAGAAAGATGAGGCAGTAAGCTTCCACAGAAAGTAAAAACTTTTGAAACCTTATGAAGCAGTTCCACTCTGTCCCATAGGATCACCGTGAGTTGAATTTACTCCACAGAAGTAGTTTTGATTTTCTATGAGGTAAGGACACAATAAATACTGGGTACATAAGGGAATACATTTTAAAAATCATGAAGTATTGTTTTGCTACAAAGCAAGGAGGCCTCAGGAAGCAAAACAAAGAGAATTTTCTAAGCACCGACCACATGGCATTTCAAGTACTTTGATGACCACGACCACGTCAAAGAATAAATGCTTCACTTTTAAGAGCATATATGTGTATAATCAGAGTTAAAGAGCATGAGAAAAATAAAAGTCATCTGTCAAACAGGGGAGGGGGGACGACTACATGGTTTTAGCTGTTGTCTTTTTCCCCTTCTTGACAAACCTGTTGGAAACTCCTAGACAAACCTTCATGTAGTTGCAATTCTTCCAACAGAAGAGAGTAATACCACTGGAGCTGAGATCTAAAAAAGCGGGTAAAATAGAAATAAACCAACATGGAATTACGTTCCCATCATTTAAAGGTGGAAGGCACTGTGGTGGGGTGTGGAGGGATCCCTCCGCTGCTAACCTAATAGTTGTGAGGGTGAACCACCAGTTCCTCCCTGGGAGCAGATGTGATGGCCTGCTTCTCGAAAGACAGACAACCTTGGAAACCCTGTGGCGAAGTTCTACTCTCTCCTGTAGGATGGCTCTGAGTCAGAATCATATTGACTACGGATGAGTCTGGTTGTGAATTTTGAAGGAAAGGAGGATAAAATGCTCTCGCATTCATCAACTAAGAAGTGTTCCTGTTCATAATTAGCAGGGAGAAAGAGCAATTACAGTGCATTTGGATTAAATTTGTTAAACGTCACTCGAACTTGGCTGTGAAGCTTGAGATAAAGAAAACAAAATAAGATTTTAAAAAGGATTTGGTTGAAGCCAACCATCACAGGTTGAAACTAGAAGATAAATTGATGAGCATAAAAACAGTAAAGTAAATCATCAGAACAAAAGTTGTTATGCTGCATGAAATAAGTTTATTAAGAGACTAACAGCAGAACCCTTTGGACCCACCCTCACCCTCCACCCACCTCCCAGTCGCCATAAGGTCAAGGAGAAGTTAGCAATCCATGAGCAGAGCAACCTTGAGAAGCAAACGACTTGCTTTGCTGATAAAAGTCAAGAGGGTCAGGGAAATAAGTCTTGCTGTCGGTTATCTGCAGAGTCCCAGTACAGCATTTGAGGCCTGTGTGATGTGTTTCAGCAGCATCAAAGACCAGGACCATGGAAAGAAGTAAGCAGGAAGATGGAAGATGGATCTCTCTAGGGCACCGGAGGCAGGAATGCAGTCATCGCTCTTCGCTCTTCGGGTGGTTGTTTTGTGCAACTGGAGTTAGTCAAGGGTCCTGACGCCGTGAGTTCTTCAGTAGGTGCTGTAGCCAAAGCCAGAGCCTGAGCCCCATGGCCTGCAGAAGCTGCCACCATAGCCGCAGCCCAGGTTGCCGATGTTGCTACCGCCAAAGCTGTAGCCCAAGGAGCCGTAGCCATTGTAGCCATAGCCATTGTTCAGAGGAGAGCCCAGGGGGATGACACAGTTCAAGGGGGTGGCTCTGAAGTTCCCATGGAAGTTGGTCCCATAGCAAGGATAACCTGGGAAGTAGCTTCCACAGCAGAAGAAACGAGTCATGACGGCAGGTGTTGAAGAGGGTTTGGATAGATTGGGAAGATCAAGTTGACCAAGTGCGAATGAAGGTCCCCTGCTGTACGGGGCTTTTTATACTTTAAGCTGGTGGGCACGACACGCCTATCTGGATAGCGTCCTACTAATTTGCATAAGTAGCCCTATTATTCTTCTAATAAAATGCGCATAAAGGAATCCAGAGACTCGCTGCCTATGCGTTTTTTTGGCTTCGCTCTTTGAGGAGGAATGTGCCCTTTCTTCAAAGCCAATGGGCACCCTTGAAGCATAATTGAGCTCAACAGTGGCCCATGTCTTAAACCCTGCTCTGATTGCATCACATGAGACTCTTGAAGTCCTCTGATTATGAACTCCTCCCTACTGGTAATGCTGAGACAAAAAATGGTTTGGCAAAAAAAGGTAAACACTGCGGTCAAGCCCATGCCCTAGATGGAGGCCTTCTGACTCTTAGAGAATATCATACTGAAACACTCCATTGAAACGCTGCACCGTTGTTGGTAGGTGCTCTCGAGGTGCTTCCAATACACAGCGATCCTACGTACAATCGGGCAAAGCCCTGCCCTGTCACAGGCTTTGCTTCCTCAGACTTCCCTCCGTTCACGTCAGTATGCTGGTCTACCTGAGAAGGTCACTCTGCCGCAGTCATGCTTGGAGTGCCTGCTGACCTAAGGGGCTTATCTCCTGGCACAGCCTCTGACAATGCTCTGTTTTCTGTCATGAGGTTTTCAGTGCATGACAGTGTTTCCATTAGGTCCACAAGGTGTCTGGAGGTTTGCCGTGCCTAATTCCTCTGAATTGGACAGCTGATTCCTTCTTCGTAGTCTGTTCTTAGTCTAAAAGCATCGCTGACACCTGTTCACCTTGAGTGACCCAGCTGGCATTTGCAATACTGGTGACCTACCTTGTCGCATGACAATACTTAAGCCACCATAGTACAACAAACTGGCGTACAAGTGATGGAAACTGGAACTCTATACCATCTTAAAATTCTTATATGGGTCACTCAATAATACTGCTACACAAATCCATCAGGAGAAAAATATCTTTAAGAGAAGCAGCAAAATTTTCAAATAATAGGACAGCTGTAGGTAACCTACTGATAATTATCATGTATTTCATTTATGAGCATCCTCCTTGTTAAATTATCTTTCTATAAAGAATGCAATATTTAAGTGTGAATCTCCCAGGAGACTGTTAAGATGTCTTCCAAAGGAGTGTCCACAAGGGCACCAAGTGGACCGACGCCCAATGTCAAAGTCATGCTAGATCTCGCTCGGCTCTTATTGCCTCCTAGTAAAACAAGTCTGAATGCAGGGGTCCATTATGAACCACCAGTTACATTTAAGAGCGCCACACTTAGGGTTCCATTTTTTTCTGTGTGGCTAGCGCTCATGACAAAGAAATACCAGAAAGATTTTGAGCTCAGAATATGAAGTTTATTCTTTTTGAAATGTTTGTGAGGTCGTCTTTTTCATCGGTGAATGACAGGCCAGCATCACCCTGGTGGTGGTGTAGGTAAGCTTTGTCCACTAACTGGAACTCAAGCTCCCCAGCTGCTCAGCAGGAAAAATGAAGCCGTGTGCTTTCATAAAGCTTTCCAGCCTTGGAAACACAGTGGGGCAGTTCTACTCTGTCCTCTATAGGATGGCTATGGGTCAGAAATGACTCACTGATGCATTTAGATTTTGTTTTAAGAAGCTGGATTATTTAAATACAGAGGAAAACTTACTAAATGCCAACTCCTTTTTCTTATCCCAGTTAGCGGACAACAAAGAGTCTAACTGGCAAAACCTATTGTTCTCATCATCTATCGCTTCATTACAGACAACCGAAAAGTGGGTGAAGGGAGACGTCGGACAGGGCAAGATATGACAAAATA